CACAGGTCTGTTATTGTTCAATAATTTAGTTGCTTTACACACTGCTTGCTCCATATAAACACCGTACATGACCCGAGTGCAACAAAAATAAAAGTCTCACAGGGCAAATGACAAAATGGCTTTATTGTTGGAAAAAACCACTCATAAAAATTTTGGCCATGGCATTCAACATGTGGCTGCTAATGGGTTCAAGTGGGGACTTTTTTGATCAGATTTTTATTTTTGGGTGTTTAGTGTCTGTTATTTGGTACAACGTTTATTAAAGACTTTTAAAGTTGCTTTAGTTGAGATTTCAAAACAAATAACAACTAAAACAACACACCTTTGCTTGAATGTATGTCATATGTATTAGACACAATCAAAATGTGAGTTTTCTTGTTTCCATAGGGCGTACCCACTCATCACAGAACCACCCTGAGGACACTGAGGTGAAGGTTACGGTGATGAGGTGATCCTGAGTGTGGGCGCTCATTGACCCCATGCTGGACGTCACATTCATCTGGACCATCGACTACAGGATCATCGACTTTCACTACTCGAGTGGATCACTACGGGGGAAAACCGCGTTTTGGTAGTAGGCCTCATTAATTTTAACATCTTACTTCACAAACCGGTCTTGACCACCCTCAGCTAATGAATCTATATTGTCTCTTGCACTCCCCCCCCCTCCCTATTTATTTTTACCCCCCTATTTCCTCTTCCACTCTCATGCTCATGTTTTTTTTGCTTCCTGGGTGTTCAGAGTTGAAGATGGCAGTGGTGATCTGAGAATAAAGATATGTCCAGATTTGGCTACGCACGAACTGGTCGCTACGCCTGCCCACTAGCTCCGTGCGGGTGCAGCGAGCTCTTGCATTACGCTGACCTCAAGATTGTTGGTACGTCCCAGCATGCTCTGTCTAAAAGGATCATAGATGCCAATCACCAGCAGCGTCAGCCATGTTGGTTTTAATTTGAAAGTGTGTGTCCTTTGACAGATTTGTACGACCCTTATAACTTCCTTGCAGTCACAAAACTTTACAGATGTGCAGTTTAGATTAAAATCAATGAGTCAAGGTGGCGATTGGCCCCCATACCTGACGCCTCTGGCTTGATTTGGCATTGTTGATCCCATCACACCAGCCAGCTTGTTTTTTTTACTCTGAGCAAATGTACAGAAAATGAATAATCCCTGCGTATTCCCTTCCTGATCCAGGTGTTCCTGGGCCTCCCGGGGTGATCCGAGTGGATGAGATCGGGGACTCATGGGTGAAGTTATTATGGACTGGAGGGTCAGAGCATAACAGCCCCATCCTCTCCTACACCATCCAGACCAGACACTTCTGGTCCCTGAATGAAGACGACTGGAAGGACGCCAAAACTTGTGAGTACTGATTTATATTTGTTTTTATATTCGGGATTGTGGGAAACGGTATTCCGATCTCTCTGTCTGTACACACAAACTGGAAGTTGACTGACTTTTTGATACTGCTCACTGCCAGTAGGGGGCCCTCTCGTTTTAAATCCAGCATTCTGACATCACGTCTGCTTTATCCTGCAAATGAAGTCTACTTGCACCCAAACAAGAGACAGAAAATTAAACACAATTATTTTTAAGTCAACATACTATATGTGTCTCCTTAAGCTCCAACCTTTCTGGATGGCCATTCTGAGAAGGCAGAAGTCACAGAACTGTACCCCTGGATGGAGTATCAGTTCAGGATCATCGCCACCAACGAGTACGGCTCCGGGGAGTCCAGCATCCCCTCCCTCAAGATCAAAACCTGGGACGCTCGTAAGAAGAGAGAACTGACACCTGACACATTATTTTTTGTCAAGACTTAACACTAATGGCCTTTCTCTTCCTTCTCAGAACCAGTGGTTTCTCCCACTGATGTGGAGGGTTACGGAGGTAGAAATGGTGAGATCGTCATCACATGGACTGTAAGTAAGCCCTCAGTTAACGTCGCTTGATCCAAAATACTACTACAAAGTCTAAGGTGTTTTTCCTTTCCTTTACTCTTTCCACTCCTGACCCCTTAGCCTGTGGAGCCTTGGTATTTCTCCGGCAAAAAGTTTGGCTACATCGTGGCATTCAAGCCTCACGACGCGTACGACTGGTGGTACGAGACCATTTCGGACCCCGAGACGAGGCGGTACGTTCACAGGGACTCTTACTTCATTCCCACAGAAGAAGATTTCCAGGTCAGAGAGTTTCAGGTGAAGATCAAGTCTTTCAACGCGAAAGGAGATGGACCATACAGCCTCACCAAGGTCATCTACTACCCAAGAGATGGTGAGGATTTAATTTCAGCATGGTTTGATTCCAATGAGAAGAAAGGGAGGACATTAACGAATAGGGTTGACTAAAATGTTTTCTTTTCCCATCCATTTGTCTGTCTCCAGTACCGATAGAGTCTCCAACAGATATCTACGCCAGGCCTGTTTCCTCCACTGAAGCTGTGGTCTGGTGGTTGCCTGTGATGGACACTGGTACCGGCCTACAGCAGTACATTGAGGGATACCAGGTACACAGCTTTTACTCTCCAAGTTGCATACACTAACTAAAGATTTTGGTCTCAAATGCCTTAAGGCTTATGAAAGACACACTATCTCTTCACACAGAACCGGTAGACATTTTAAATGGTGACTCAAAACTACTCAAGGTGTCAAATAAGTGAGAATGTGGAATATTTAATTAATGGTAAAGACTTTAACTTTGGATTAAGTTTGAAAAAACAAGTTAAACGTTTAACTTGTCAACACATTAGGCTCAAACTGCTCATACCTGCCTTCTTAGTCTGCTCATAGTGCAATTAAATTAACAAATCACAGCACCAACGATTGCTAAAGGCAACAAACTCCAACTAACTGCTGGTGGCAGAATATACCATTTTGGAGGTTACAGGACAACTAATGACTTAAGATTCTGCCCTTGCAAGGAGTACCATAACCACTTTTCATTTGTAATTGTCTTATAAGTTACCCTGCATTCTACATGTAATTGCATTGACTTCATGTCAGTGTTAGCGAGCTAGCAGGGTATCAACAACACCGTAGCCGGGAGTGTTCACTCTTTATCCAGTGATAACTTTTTTTTTTTTTTTTTCCTTTCCAGGTGAAATACTGGAGAAAGTACGATGATCCGGAGCCAGGAGCACACCGTATATTTGTTTCAGCCTCACTGAACCAGACCCGGTTGGAGAACATGCTGCCCGACTCTCACTACCTTATCGAGGTCCGGGCCTTCAATGGAGCTGGCCTCGGACCCCCTGGGGAACACTGCGAGATGTTCACAAAGAGAGCACGTAAGAAAAAATATGGACTATAAACACCTACAATGAGAGTTACGGTATAGATATGGTCCGAGCAAATACCTGTGTTTTGTCTCCAGCCCCACCAGACCCTCCCAGGATGTGGCGCTATGTTACCTGGACAGGACAGTGGTTGTATGTGTGGTGGGAACATATCTCGTATGACTGGTTTGGCGATATTTCCTTCCCCCTTTACTACAAGGTGAGTGTGGAATACTTCTATTAAGGCTGCTATCTATCAAGTCTATAAATACGTTTTTCCATTGGAAACCTTGCAGTGTCCTCAGGTGGTTCTGTGGTGATGGTAGCCTCTATGGAAACAAGAAAACTCACATTTTTGATTGTGCTAATACATATGACATACATTTTAAGCAAAGGTGTGTTGTTTTAGTTTGTTATTTGTTTTTGAAGTCTAATTTAAGCAACTTAAAGAAGCCTTTAATAAACGTTGTAGCCAAAATACAGACACTAACCCCCCTTAAAAATCGAAAATCAGATCAAAAATGTCCCCACTTAAACTCCAGAGTCTACATGGAAAAGTTGAAGATCCAATACTTTTTCTTTTCAAGGTTATGTTCAGAAAGACAGGCTACATCTATGGGAAAGTCTATATGACTGGCTGGCACTTCATGGACTTCCCCATGCCTCAGATGGGAGACTTTGAGCTGTTGGTATGCGGACGTTATGAAGGAGGGGATGGCCCAGTCAGGATGATTAGTATCAAGGGTAAGGCTAGAAAATGTAAATATATATATAATACATTATGTCCTCTTGGTCCATCTGTCTCATGTTGTTTTCTCTTCCTCAGGTGAAGCACCAACCATCACACCCACTCTAAGCCTGGCGTCTATGGTGCTGCTGGCGCTCGGCATTGTGGGATTGGAAATTTAAGCTCTGCCTCAAGTGACATGTGTATATAATAGACTCTGGGAAGTACATTTGAATAGAAGGGATCCAGTTTTCACTTCCAAACACTCTGATAGTGGTTAAAATCATGTGTCATGCATCTGTTCTGTTGCAACAGGAAGTTGTTTTTCACCAAAAAAAGCATTGGGTGTTGAACCCAACACGTAGTAAGGATGTGCTTCATCTCCTAAATGAACACAACTGTGCTGTATAACTGAGTAAGACTTCTGTACTGGATGATATGAGAAAATCTAAATAAACTATGTCTTACCCATTTTTCAAGCCAAAACGAATGAACCAATAATATTTGTTAGATTATGTGATTAAGCTCAAAATGTGTTCATATAGAAAAAAGCATCCAGGATCCAGATGTTGAAACTGGAAAGCGGTGCCAAGGTAGAATTTAACACATCCATTTCTCACAGGGTCAAGCAATGAAAAGCGCTGTATGATAATCACTGCATTTGGAATGAGCAGAGAATAATGTGTGACTGTGTTTAGATTTTATGTAATTCACCCTTTTTTGTAGCACATACAATATCACATATTTTAAACAAACTTATTCTTCATAATCTCTTTTGTTCATCTCTTAAGTACATTTTTTTCTACAGGCTCCATGGTGCTGTATTACAGATACATAAGATGCTTGCTAAATTGTTCATTTAAATCTCCATCCTCACTAGTGTCATATGCATAGACAATTTAAGAGTTATGAGTTCTCGCTGCAACAATGAAAGCCATATCACTTTGAATGAAGCCAGGGTTGGAAGAAATATCCGTATATCACATATATGTATATGCTAAGTTCCTTTATGTCAGGCTGCAAAACCATTAAACAGAGTATAACAATCTGGATCGTGTCATTGGTTTAGCCATTTTAAAATAGTACTGGTGTTCCTTTCATTACAGTGGGATCTCAGAATAAAAAGGAAAGATCAAACTACCGTAATTTTCGGACTATAAACCGCGACTTTTCCCCAATTTTTCGACGCTGCGGTTTATATAGCGGTGCGGCTAATCTATGGATTTTTACAGCTAACGGCCACCACCTTTAACTCTGTGGGCTCTATGGCCGGTCCGCGGACCCGACTTTAAGCGGCGGGTTCCAGCAGGAAAAGCTGGAGGCCGAAAAGAGTGAGACAGTAGCGGCGCAAAAGTAAAAGTGGAAACGAGAGTGTATGCCGCTGCTGCGGCTTATATTCAGGTGCGCCTTATATTCCGAAAATATACGTACATGACTCGAGACAAATGACCAAACCACATTTTTGGTACTAAGCTGCAATTTATCCATGCAGTGTTGGGAGTTCAGGATACTATAATGTCAATGCCTGCAACTGAAATGTAATGTGTGGATTTCCATCAGCAGATGGCAGTATGTCTATGTGCCATTTACACCGTTCCCTGTATCATTTGGCACATCTCAATTCTATTGGAAATTGTGACATATATTAATCTTATCCTTTATTAATTGGTATACACCTAAATGTTACTGCAGAAAAGTGAATGAAAGCAATATGTTCACACCTGCCTTCATGCTGTTTCACACATAATCAGAACTCTGCTTCTTCTTATCACTTGTAAATAAGGAAGTGTTGCATATCATTATTTTGTCTGTATGCTGTTTCAGTTCAAATCAAAATATTGTTTTGTTTTTTCCTTAATCTTATGT